ACTGCCTTCAAAGGTGAGACCATTGATTCTGATTCTGTTGATGATATTGAGCTTCTTTCTGTAATTAGCAACCTTGTGGAATATCTAGAATTCTTGTCGCCAAGCTTGAGCCACAGTTCTCTAGACTTTTGTCTACAACAAATCTCCTGCATATCCAGGGCTTTAACTAAATCAAGTTCAAGTTGAATTCTGCTTTCCTTCTTGACTTCAGTTAAAGGCCTGGTTTCATCAATGGAGTCCAACTCCTTTATTGATTTAATCAATTTTTCGATCCTGACATGGATGTTTCCAAATGTATGTTTATTCCATAATTTAATATTCTCCTTCAGGGATTGGAGCCGCTTCGACCACCGAAAGATGAACCTAGACCCTTGCAATGGAGAAAGGAGCCAAATGGGAAGGCTAATGAAAAAGCGCTCATCTTCCAACCACATGTTTTCGTATCTCTATGGTCACTTGATGATACTCTCCTTATCCCATTTCAGTAGAAGAGGGTTATGATCAGATTAGATTCTTTCGACTGCTGATAGATTGCAATCCGGAAACAGAGAGTCGAAATGCAGGTAGATAAAAACACGATCAATCCGAGACTGAGAGTTGCTGTCTATTTCGTGACTCCAAGTGAAGGGCTGCCTCCCAGGGGGAAAATTAAGAAGAGAATTGTTGTCGACGAAGTTGTTAAAAGCCCCCATGAGCTCCGAGCTACGTCTCACTCCGGTATAGTCATCATGACTTCTGACTAAGTTGGAATCACCAGCGATGCAGACTAGTCCTTGGTGTTGCTGGAAGAAGTCGTGTAGTTCTTGAAGGAACACTATTTTCTCGTTTTGCTCTTGCGGACCGTAAACAATAACAAGATGCCAGGAGTTGGAGCTAACGACATCAAAGAGCTCTACATCAATAAAATAGCTGCTTTTGCTGCTCGAAATTCTCTGGTAGCACAGTTTATCCCAGATAACCACAATGCCCCCTGAGCTTCTGATGGCATTCTTAGCAACCCAATCGATATCATTTTTACTGCTAATACTCTTTGCGAGTTGACTCGCTATGACACAACGCCTAACAATGGCCAAGTGTAACCAATGAAAGGGATTGCAGTATAGTGGCTCAAGTAATAAATATCGAATCCATGGGTCTCTAGAGTTACTATTACTCAGCTTCAGTTCATTATCTAGCAAACCAGATTAAGATGGAAGAACTAAAACTACTCTAACAAACTACAGTTAAAGTTAATCTAATTACAGGTTGGGAACTCACTTAGGTATGATTCCCCCTAGCCACTAGCTAGATTAATGATTGATGATTTCTAACTTGTTTCACTTTCATTCACAATGCAGAGAATCCTTGACTAGACCTTGAATCTCGACTAAAGGATCAAGGCCCTCTTGAGTCGATTGCCTAGAGGGACGTATCCTTCTCTTGAACAACCGATCAAGGCATTTTGAACTAGACTCCCTCTATCGAATGAGGTTCTCAATCGATACAAAGCAGTGAATCGACCCTCGACTAAAGAAATCGATCCAATAGTATCAATCTATGGTGCTCTATTGACCTAATCAGGTATTCGCTCTCATAGGATCAAAGCAGAATCAATAATCTCGACTAAAGCAGAATTGAATCATGAAACACATGCATAGATTGAATATGAACTCAAGATTATCAAGTAGGAGTACTCATACAATCATCCAATCAAACAAACATAGCTAGTGTTCCTCAAAACCTAAGTGAAGGGAAGTTACTCCATAGAGAAGAGAGAGACTACAGTAAGAATCTTCAGATGATCAGTCTTCAAGTCAGGGCTTGTTCCTCGAGCTTCCAAGGCGAAGAAATCCTCCAATTCCACTCCAAGATTGCCCTCAAATCACCCTTTCTCTCTTTGGTTCGTCCCTTGGGTGTTTGGGATCCAAAACCCAGCTCCCCCCCTCCAAAAACGCACAAAACAAGCTTTTAACAGCCTGTGTTCGCAACCCGGACGCGTATTTTGGGTACCCGGCCGGCTATTTTTGGTTCACGAACGGGGGGCCTTCTGATGCTGCCAAAAATACCCTATCAGATGGTCAAAATACCCGATCGGGTATTTTGACCATCTGATAGGGTATTTTTGGCAGCATCAGAAGGCCCCCCGGTCGTCGGGTATTTTGCAGTTCCGGGTCCACTATCTTTGATTCTTCGTTTCTCCCTCGTTCGGACTCCAAATCAGGTGTTGTTTGATCCCAGACGCTCGTTTGGTCACAAACTGAGGTAAAAGTCCATTCTTCTTCAAGTCATACCCGAGTTTCTTCCCCCGAGTCGCCAATCGATCTCCGATTGACTTGAAACTTGCGCCTATGCTTCACTTTATGTGCTAGGACCTGAAATGTGACAAAGGAACACAACCTAGCGGAAAATAGGCCAAAAAAGCGATAATTCAAGCTTAAAAGCCAAGAAGCAGAGGGGAAAACATGTGCAAATACCAAGTTCTCACGAGTTCATCTGATCAAGCTGCCCATTTGGTTTCCACAAGACCAATGATGGAAATTTTTGCCGACTGATAAGCCTTTTGATTCGATCTCGCTTAGCTGGATCACCTAGACCTCTAACATTCCATATGAAAATAGAAGTTCCCATAATTAAACTCTAGATGCAGAACCTCCCACCTGTTTCTTGCAACTCCTCGGTCCCGCTGGAGGAGGTGCGATAGGCCCTAATCGTAGGTCCCACATGTTTATAATTTTTCTCTGATGTGTCACCCAGGCTACCTGAGCGATGATAGAGTCTACTTGAGAATACCATTCATGTCTTCCAATTCAAACAAGTGTCCGAATTATAGGCTTAAATTGATGAGGGTATCAGCATCAAATGGATACCCATTTAAATCCCAAGACCGATCATTATCAACATAAAAGCAGGATGGCGATGGAAGCTCAAGGATGTCCATACAGTTGGGGGTGAATGACGGGAAGGAGGATGAAGGAGAGGAGGGTGAGTCTCATTCAATTTCTCAGGAGATACGGGGGAGACGAAGGTGGGGTTTCGGCAACGGGGAAGTCAGGTTCGATGGTATAGGGATGGGGAAGGGGTGGTGACGATGGTGACTGTAAAAGAGTGCCAGAAATTGGTTGCGGATAGCTAAGGTCAGAGATGGTGAAGGTTAGGAAATGAATTAAGGTTCTAGGGACGAAAACTGAGAAATTTGGCGTCTGAAGGTGGATGGGGAAATGGGAGGGGGGAGGTGACTGAAGAGTAAGGAGATGATGTCTGATGGATTGGAGATAGAATTGGATCGAGAAACGGGGAAGAGGTGATTGGGTAGTGAAATGGGCTGGGGAAGGAGTATGGGCTCGATTAAGCATAACGGTAGGTTTGGCTGGGGTTAGTTTTGAGGATCAAGCCAGATAGGCCCGACTTTCCGGACCTAGATTTTTTAGTACCAGATGGAGAGGGTCTAATTCCAGAAGCCTCCTTGTTATTATTAGCCAATGCGACACTTAGTCTTCCATGCACGTTGGGATACTGCACCCTTGGTTCGCGTAGATGGTTGTAGCATGATGATGGAACGAAATCCGAGTAACGTCTCTTAGCTTCCCTACCAATTTGACTAATGGATTGAACCGCCGGCTGCCGAGCCCACGCCGCCGGTGAAGCCTCAACATTGACGAAAAAAGTCGAAGACCCATGCCGGAGCGGAATGGAGCTAGGCAAAGCAGATTTCTTCAGAATTTTGATCCGAAAGAAAGAGTGGCACCAAGAGTTCAAGTCAACTTCGATGAATGTCCCACAGAAATTTCCGATCGCTTTAAGTAAATTAATGCTTTTCAGATGAAGAGGGATGTTGTAGACCAGAATCCACATTGCAGCATCCGACAGTTGTATATCTTCGGGTTCCCAGAATGCCAAGTGGATGTTGAAGTCCTTGTATTGTGTCATTCGATTTTTGTGATGCGAACCGCATCATCGATGTTGGGGCAGATAAAGAGACACCTGCCGTCAGACTTGTCTTCAAGGATGTAGTTGTTGTCTATAGCCCAGTTCTTTTTTGTCCAATTTCTGAATCCTAGAACCGTTTCCCTGGTGAAGTAGGAATTCCTTTCCGAGGAGAACATGAGTGTCAAGCATCTGCCAAGAAGCTCGCTCCTCTCATTGACCCCTTCACTACCAATGTCGATGAAGTTGCCTCCGTCATCTTTCTTGATAATACACTTCCCTCCTCCGTAAAAAGACACCGTATTTAACAGCGTCTGCGTATCACTGTGAAAGAGCACTATTTGTTGGTTGGAATGGTAACTGCGTGATATTGGAAGTTGAACCGTTGTACATTTGAGTACGATGATGGAGTTCAGCTGAATAGAAGGCCTGAAGTAGATAATTAGCTTGGCACAGCCTCGGTGATTGTCGGAAGACGGAATTAAGACTTTGAAAACTTTTCCAGCTTTTGTGTTTGGAGTGGTAGGTCTTATGACAATGTTATGTAATGCTCATAAAAAAAATCTCTCATTTTCCCACTATCCTTCTCTATGATCTATGTTTGCTTTCATTCTATTATTATTCTTAAAGGACAATATGTTTTCTGCTATGTAGTATGTTGTAAGTGTTCTACTTATCATTCTCCAAACAGAATTGCAAGTTTTATGTAGTGAATAACATGCATTTTTGTGTTAATTCAATCAATTAAAAAAGTATGAGTATCAGTTGTGCTTTGTTTCATATAAGCTTATTATTCTTTTACAATACTATGCCGGTCAACAGGCCTGGACCAACGCTAGTTATTTTATTAGATAAAGAATTTTTTATCTGGGAATTTTGTAATTTAAATTTTTTATTTATTTGTCGCTGATGTGGAGGTGAGATGTAGCGTTAATCGTTAGTTAACGGTGTTGACCGTCCAAATTAACGATCAAAACACACTTTCTGCCAAGCTACACTATATGATGTATATTTGATATCAGAATGACAATTTCAGAAATCATGTGCCAAAATTGATTACATGAGTATAATTCAAGTCAGAATAAGATATTTCTAAAACAATGGAGTGACTAATTAACTTGTTATTGCCCTTCGACAATGACACATAGATTAACATAAGAATTTCTATAAACACTAGCAATGTGACTAAAAACATAGGGGTTTTTTTTCATGTAATATCAAAGTACAATAGTTATATCCTCTACTCAAGACCCCAAATCGACAATTAGTGAAGCAACCCTACAAAATCGAAGGAAGCTATCTCTACAGGGACAACAGCAGGGCTTGTCTTGCCACTCTATGGGCAGCCCAGTTGACAGTCCTCGAAACCGAACTAATGTGAATACAAGAAGAACAGGAACACAACAACTGAAGACAATCACGAAGCAAGGACCCGCCCAGAGTCTTCACATCATCTATCGTCAAGTTGCCGAATGCATCATAGGTTGGAGACACAGATACATGTCATGTGCTAACTTGACGTTACTAGAAATCGGTAGCTCAGCTTGACTGCCGGATCAAAAGTCCAAGCTGCCACATTGCTTGCTCTCAATACTTCTTACATCACCATTTTGCTCCATGTCCTTCCTGTTGCCATTACCATTCTCCAGGCCTCGACTTCGGCCAATTCCCAACTTTGGTAGACCACGGTTCAGCCCTTCGAGTAGAACACATGCTTTGCACCACTTCTGCATATCAAGCACAATTTACAAGCAGATTATTATAGATGTAAAACCAAAACTTAAAGTTAGTGGTGACGAGAAAGCAAAAGACTTGGTTCTTTTTACCTGGCTTGATATATAACCACATCTTTCACAAGTCCCCTGCTCAGGCATCTTTGTGGAAGTTGAAATTCTGAAGTTCTCTCCAGATTTGATGATATCCACTATGGCCCTAGGTCTGCATTGTAAGCGATCAGGGGGGGAAGCCAATGTCAGGAATCAACAAAGACGGGCTGTGTGGGATACAGAAACTAAATGAACATGGAGGATGGACTGAAAGGACAACTACCTGATTCTTTCCAAGTCCTTGATGAACTCACGAGCAAAACCACGATAAGCATTGGGAGAGTAAATGCCTGGACATTGTTAGTAACAAGTAAGAATCATGGATGAAGTCATCATAAGGAAGAGTACCTATGAAACTGAACCATACATTCGGTAGAGAAGTAGTCCAGCTTCTTGAAATAAGCATACGTGTGGTTCTGGTTAAGGTTTTTGCAATAATAATTGACACTTTCAGTAGCAATACGGAAGTAAGAATGAAAAAATACCAATCGGGTCACCAAACTTACCTGCCTATAATATTGGGCAGTAACCCAAACATCAAATTTGCCCTAATAAGTTGGCATTAGCATTTCCGTTCACCCTGCCCTATTTCCATCAGCTTTATTGGATTCTGTTACTGAACCTTTATATTGGTATACAGGGGCTGCCACATAAGCAACACAATAGCAAAAGCTGACGGAGGAAACAAAATTACTAACAATGATTTAATAAGGCGAATGCTCTATGTCTCAATACCGAGCTCAGTGTCCAATGTAATACCCATAAGCTAGTTCAGTGACAAAATTGCTATAAAACAAGAAGCAAGCAACAAGATTTTATTTGCATAACATAGCATCTTAGCTGCAAGGATATATGACAATCTCCTTCTCATAAGTGTACTTAAATGGCTTGCATCTTGGAATAGGTCCATCTTCCCCTGTAGTGATTGAAGTGCATCTACTCAATCTACAAGGTGGAGGCATACTTCTTTAGTAGAGGAAAAATGATGAATGTAAATCAAAAAGGGCCATGAACTTCTCTGCATCCCTACCTAGCAACATCACCACGTAGTATGTTTAGGAGCACAGTCTCAGCAATATCATCTGCATTATGGCCGGTAACAAGCTTGTCTACTTTCAGATATGCAGCTCCTCGATCAAGTGCCTTCAATGGCATGATTAATTGATTAGCCCCATATGAAAGATCTGTGCTTTAACATTAGAGCTAAAAGAGCTTCATGTCAACAAATTAAGAAAACAATGGCAAGACAAAATAGTAGTTGAAAGGGATTATTTGAGAACTTGTTGTTTATACCTGACGCCGGAAAACACCACAAAATGTGCAGTTATTCTTCAAACCAATCACCTTCACAATCTCATCCATTGTCCATCCATATAACTCCTTGTATGAGACTATCTTTAATGGCAGACCATACTGAAATTACCAAGTAGAACAGGACTATGAGAAAGCCAAAGTAGAAAAAAAAAAAAAGATAGAACTCCAAGCATGGCTGAATCATTCTTACTAACCTGGACTTCATTTCTTTTGACAGTCTCAAGAGAATCGTCCCTATATCCTGTGATGCCTTCATCAACTGACAAGAGGAACAAATCCAGTCCATAGTTATGCCTGCGATTTAGTTCTGACATTACGTAGGCAAGCACCGTGGAGTCTACAAAGAGAAAAATGAGAAGGGATCAAACTTATGAGATGCAGCTCATCAAACACGCTGGATAATAAGAAACCGTCCGACTGCAGCAAAAGAAGAAACAAATGAAGCACCTTTTCCACCAGAAGCACCGATAGCAACACGCTCACCAGCCTTAAATAATTGGTTCCCCACTATTACTTGGTGTATTTCTTCCTCGAACACCTCATAGAAACATTTCCTGCATATCTTTTACACCCCATACTTTAGAGGAGAAGATAAAATCATTGTAGCAAAACTGGAACGAACTTAAGATATCAATGCAGACCGCACTCTACCTGTTCTAGTGTTTTAGGTCTTTTAAGAGCAGGCTTTCTTTCATTGCAACGACAACAAAGGCGAGAACTAGCACTTTTGGGAATCTTATTGCCTTCCTCCATTGCTTCCTGATGGTTTAGATCCCTAGTTCAGATTGATCCAGAACAAAATCCCTTTCTTCCGCTTGCTCGAAAACTCTTGGCGAACATCAACTTGGGAGATGGTCTAACTGCTACAAAAGATATAAAATTAAGGAGCTCAACAACATAGAATTTGCTAACGAACCTAATTTACATTGTCCTACACACTAGCAGAAAGCTCAACCACCCTTTAATTCAGCTAGCAGCTGGTGTAAAGACTTGGCCTTCGTCATTTCATCACTCACCTACTGAACTTCATACCAGATAAAAGTTAGCTAACTAATCCAAATCTTACACTCTCCAATTAGAAAAACAGTAACAAGCTCAACTATTAAGCATGTTCTTGCTAGGCTACACAACGGCTCATTTTCACCCACCATGATAATAGTTGCATCGACTATTTAAACTCACTGGAGTGGGTTTTGATTTTATCTTTCTATCATCTTGTAATAGATTCTACCTTGTGAACACATTTACATTTATTTATTATTAATACAAAGCCAATCATTCATAAAAAATTAGAAAAACACTAAAACAGTAACAGGCGCCAACGAAACATACCCAAGAAATTCGCACAGGAGAACTAAGCAATCGACTTCAATAAAGAAAACCCATCCAAAGAATATCCAAAAGCAACCTAGTTGCCGAATCAATACAAAACCAAGAAATTTCGGGATGGCGGACTGAAACCTAATATGTACCCCTTTGGCTTCACGATATTGAAGAGTCGAAGATACTTGACGAATCCATAGGAGGCTTGAAATGAAGAAGAAGAAGAAGAAGAAGAAGAAGACCTGGATCGAACATACCGTGGTCCTCCCACGACGGAGATTGAGACGAAAGTCAGGGACTTGGGAAACCGCTCATGAAAACAAGTTCGTTGATTTTGCTAACTTCCCGGCAGAAGCGATTCAGTTTAGAAGGAATGAGCACTTTTAGTGTATTCTCACCTTGAACGGGTAAATTGCAATATTGGTCACTGAGATTACTAAAAATATTCATGTTTGGTCACTAAAAATATTTAATTTTGTTCGTGGTCACTTATATTAGTCAAACACTTCGAGTTTGGTCACTCTCCGTCCAACTCCCTTAACTTTTGCTTACGTGGAGTAGACCGTTAAATGTGTGACATGTCAATTAAAAAATAATAAAATAAATAAATTTTAATTTTTAAAATTTTCCACGTCAGTCTGTATGAACGTGGACGACGAGGAGGCTGAGGCGGTCCTGTTCCACCGCGCACCGTCTAGGGAGAACTTGATCGGGAAGTTCTAGGTGGGGCTGGCGCCGCCGGCGAGATCGACGGGGTCTTGGCTGATTGATTGGAGGGCTCGCCGGAGATGGAAACGACGATGTACAAGTCCATCTTGGAGATGGGGTTGACGCTCTCAATGCGTTGGGCGGAGATCAAGTTGATCTCTAAGGTCGTTGGCTAGCTACAAGAAATTGGATCTTTAGCGACGAAAATATTAGCGACAACCAAGAATTCATCGCAAAAGGAAGTTTCAGCGACGAAATTTTGAGAATCCGTCGCCGATTGTCATGACATTCCAGACGCACAAAATGTAAAGCGGGAAACCAGATTTTGCGACTGAAGTGCTGTCGCAGAAACCACAAAGTATATTTTCAGATATAAAAAAAGAAAAAGAATATGTATTTCCTGAGAAGAATCTCTCAAAACGTTGTCGTCTCATCAATGGCAATTGATTTATTAACCTTAACCTTGGGTGGAGAGGGGAATGCGAAGGGTGGGAATTTTATGGTTGGAGGGAAGGAATGGAAGATAACGGAGAGAGGAAGAAGAAGTCAATGGACTGGAAATTGGAATTTTGCTTCTTGGTCAGGACGGAAGAAAGAAGCTAGGAAAAAATTGCAGACTGTAACGCCTGGAACTTTCGGACTGAGCAAATCAATGCTCAATGATCAATGTCGAGTTACATATTTACAGAGGAACCGAGTGACAGGCGAGCTCCGACAAGCTTCCTCTAGGACTTGGCAACTTCACCCAGCTCACGTCCACGTTCGCTCACCGATTTGAACCTTGCGATTAACGATTTGGTCAGCGGGATCCCGCGTTCGCTCGTCTGGTTGAGCAGCTTGGTTCAGATGAAGCTCTATAACAACTCGCTGAACAGATGGAGCTGCCGTTGGCGAGTCTCAATCTCTACGAGAACGGGTTTGAAGGCAACTTACCGGCGATATTTGCTTTTTCCCCAAGTTTGTACCGCGTGCCGTAGCTTGGCCCGAATTCGATTGGGGCACAACGAGTTATCCGGCGAGATACCCGCTTGGTTCTGGGGCTTGCCCCTAGTTTATCTTGTACAACTCGCAGCAACTCGTTCTCCGGTCAAATCGCGAAGACCATCGCCAGCGCACCAAATTTGTCGATGCTGATTCTGGATATATAAGAACGGGTTCAGCAGCTCACCCAGCTCAAGTCCACGTTAAAATAGAGGTGAAAAATTTTTAAATTATTTTTATTATTTTTTAATTGACATGTCACACATTTAACGGTTAACTCTAGAATTGACCGCCACGTAAGCAAAAGTTAACGGAGTTGGACGGAGAGTTACCACACTTGAAGTGTTTAACTAATATAAGTGACCATGAACGGAATTAAATATTTTTAGTGACCAAACATGAACGTTTTTAGTAATCTCAGTGACAAATCTTGTAATTTACCCCACCTTGAATGGTGTCGTTTTGTTTTGCGCTTACGCTGCTTCATATCCGAGAATTTACCAGAATTGTACATTTACGGGTGTTTGCTTTATAGATTTGAAAAATAAATGTTTTGATAAAACTTGGGTTTTGTAAAATTATGGATATATGAAAGTTTTGGGTTCATTATGGACTTATAAAATACCATTGTTTGTTTCATTGATTTTATGATGGATTTGGTTAATTAGATATGCATGCATGAAGTGAAAATGACCTATATTGTCCTTATTGGTATGAGATGAGAAAGATAAAATGAGGTAGTTTGGTCATAAATGATGGACTTTAAAGTCTATTATCAAGTCCCACATAAAGAGGTAGAATTTTCAATTCGGTGAGACCCACGAATTTGGACCCTTAAAGTCCATGGGACCCACAGATTTGTTGTCACCAAAATGCATTAAGCAAACAATTGTTAAATCCTTAGTGATTTAAGAATATCCTCCTTCCAAATCCATCATCAAATCCATCAAACAAACAACCCCTCATACTCTATCCAAACCCCAGAACCGGACTTGCTAAACCTCAGTAATTTAAGAATATCCTCCTTCCAAAATTGGCGCCGGCCACTGTACTTCACTGGGTTAAAGTTTGAGAACATGGCATTAAATTGATGCTTAGTGTTCTTCAAATATTTCACCCTTACCAGTTACCACCCAGTGGAATTTGGTCTTGCAGTATCTTTGTAAGGGAAAGTCTTAATAGCCATTGCGTTAGAGTTCATATATATAAAGGTAAAGCATTTTTTTTTTTTGTACGAAAAGGTAAAGCATTTTAAGTGTTCGCTAACATTTTAGCTAATTGCACTTAGCATAATTTTAATTTCTTTTGTTGCCACGTTTGCAACCCGCAGCAGAGTAAAGGAAAAAAAAAAACAAATTGGTTGCCATATAAGTTGAAAATAGAAATTATTGGCTACACCGGGAGTACCACCTAGGAATGGTGATGTGGTACTCCGGCCAATCAAAACATGCCATCTGTCCATGTATTTAATTATTAGTTAATTAATTGAGTCCTTCCCGAGAAATTATTGGCTACACCCGGAGCACCACGCAAGCATGCTGATTTGGTGCTCCTGGCCAATCAAAATTCGCCACCTGTCCGTATGGATGAATTAAATAGTTAATTTCTTAATCCATGCCTCGATTCTTAATTATCCTAGGTAAACCTCTTCAAATAATAATATAATAATAATACTAACTAATTGATCCCCTCTTTCTCTCTTACGTCTCTTTGTCTTCTCTCTTCCAACGTGCAGCCGGCAACGGCTGCGAGTAGAAAATTCCGCCATTAAAATTCTGATATTTACTAACCAATTCAAGAAACTCTCCACTTGCAAACAAATTGAATCCTCAGCCATACATGTCCTTGCTTCCAAACCCACTACCCAGCTCCATTTGCAGCTTTAGAGACATCGTCAACGGCAACATAGTCGTCGTCCATTGCGCCGGTAACCGCTAAACGATAGCTCTTCGCTTGGATTGGGAGGAATCAAGGGGTGTTGTTAATAAAATCAGTACTTTTACTTCTATTAGTGCGGTGGCTGTTTCATCAGAGCTCTAAAGGGATGAGTTGAGAAGAGGAAGCAAGCGAAAAATGATTTTGGTTGATTAAATGGCGTAATTGTTGGGAGTGAGAAGAAGACAAGAGAGAGGGAGAATTAATTAGTTAGTATTTTTGTTTTATTAATTGGATATATTTATGAGAATAGGTAACAATTAAACAATGAATTATTTAATTCTTCCAATGGACAGGTGGCGAGTTTTCATTGGCCCGGAGCACCAAATCAGCATGCTTGCGTGGTGCTCCGGGTGTAGCCAATAATTTCTCGTCCTTCCCTATCAATTAATCACCCGTACCTTTCCTTTCCCCAGCACCCTAATCCGAATTCCAATCTTCCATGTTCTTTTCTTTTACGAGAATTTAAACAGCAGCTCCGCTCAAGCACACCAACCTGTGCCGCCAAACAATTGGCCGGAACTCCTCTCCGGCGCCAATATCGGCCAGCTCCTCACCACCGACGCTCTCCACCCCACGAATCTTGAACGATTTCCATCCCCGCTACCTGGTCTGGCCGCTTAGTCCGACCTCTTTGTTACCGGCGGCCCCAACAACAGACGCTTTTGGTTGGGCGCCCAGGTCTACCTCGTCTGTATTGAAAGAAACTAGCGGCCTAAATATTGGTGTTTGGTTTGTACCGAAGCCTGCAGGATATTTTCTTTCAATCAGATGAGTCGCCGGAGAGGAGCCCCGGCGGGACTGGTTGGTGTCCTTGAAGGAGCCGCCGTCCCAATTCCTGGAAAAGAAAAGAGTAGAGAAGGTGGGAATTGGGTTAGGGTGAAGTAGCGGGTGATCAATTAATATGGCAAATGCTCAATAAATAAATTAATAAATAACTAGATGGACACATGGCATATTTTTATTGGCCGGGAGTACCACATCACCACTCCTACGTGGTACTCCCGGTGTAGCCAATAATTCCTCGTTGAAAATGACAAAGGAAGGAAGGAGGAAGCAAAAAAAAAAATGGGCATTGCATAAAAATGGAAGGGGAGAACGATGATTTTTTTTATTAGAACTGAAACGGATTAGTGAGTTGGCCGGTGAGTTTGTGAACCATTTACAATATCGGATCAATTTTATGATAAATTATAAACGGATAATTTGTTTGCAGTTCTATGTTGAACTATCATAACAACTTCGATCAATGTGGTTATATAATTTAAAGTTTTCCCAAGTGTTGGGGATCCAGGGGATGACGTATAATGGTCTTCACATCTGATGTTGGTGGAGCTTTCGACATTACGAAATGCTATCTTGTGGTGCCATCTTCCAGGGTTGGAGAATGTGCACTTTGAAAGTGATGTGAAGATCGTTATTGATAAGGTTAACATGGGTGGCATTCGAAATGCAAGCTATCTTTTCGTGAAAAAAAGAAAAAGAAATAAAGACAAAAAATTCTAATTAGTTACCACAGTACTCTTTTTCTACTGCCTCTCCATTACATTTTTCAATTACCCTCATCTATTTTCTTTATTTTCGCTTTTGCATTCTTTATCTAACTCGAATGGTTCTATAAATAATTCATCAACGTGTCTATAATGATCAGAACTGAATCATAAGGACTAAATTTTTTGATTCAACGTTTAGCTCGATTCAATATAAAGGTTTCTTTAGCTTTG